AATTTGAAGATTTCATAACCTTTCCCCATAGGCTTTGAGGTCTACCTTATTTTAGTGTTAGATTGACACCTTATACAAACTTTTTTTATACAAATTATTTTATAAACGTTTTGAGGGTCTTACCCACCGATAAACTTGTTTTTTTTAATATTTATTTTTGAGAAAGTATAAGATGAGACCCTTTAAAGGAGGACTCTTATTCCTAGCCATAAAATGAAAAGGACGGGTTTTCTATGTGTCCGCGAACTCATATTGTGTATATGCACCCGGACCTAAACCTATCTTAAAAATGGAGTTTTAATTTAAAATTGTAGGGATTCATGATGTAGGTTAATATGATTATGAATATGAAAGTACCATAAAAATTTTAATATTTAAAATGCGATTCTTTTATAGAAAATCTCTGCACTGTCTAAATTCATTAGCTTTGTGAGTTTTTTACAATGTTCATCTCTGCACTGTCTAAATTCATTAGCCTTGTGACTTTTTTACAATGTTCATCTCTAGTTTTTTTAAAAATCAAATAGTTAAGGGTGTGTTATTGAATATGCATAATGCTCGATAAAAAAAATTTGTATATTTTTTTAAGTGTCTAAATTTCAAATTTAATAACTAAAGATCAATGTAACTTTCTTCTACAAAAACTAGATAATCTCGTAATAAATAATATAAAAAACTATATACAATAAGACCATTTATTTTTGACACGGGATATCACAATTACTTTAACCATTTGGATGCCTCACAAAATTCATGTGCTTTCTAAAAAGTTATATAAATATTGTAATTTAAATATAAAAATACCCTCTATATTTAGTCAAAATACTCATATCATATTTTATTTCGTCCTTTTCAAAAGATTTAGGGGCATTTTAGTCGGATGTCATTAAAGAAATGAACGGGGTTCTGTGAAAAGGAAATTTTAGAGAGTGAGTTCACTTTTGCGTTCTCTCTACCAAAACTGCAGAGTCCCTGGGCTAGTCGCCGATTTTCCCCTCAATCTGCCCTTGTTTGAGTCCAAGTAATTATATTTAACCCCTTTTTTATTGTTTGATTTATTGTTACAAAACTAGGAAAATTTTTTCTCCTTTTTTTTTTTTTTTGTGGGTTTTAGCATTAAATCTTTTACTGAACCTCATTCAATCTAAATTCAATATTCATTATATGGGAGTATTTTTTCATGTGTAAAAATGCCTTCTTTCTCTCTCTCTCTCTCTCTCTCGGTCATTGCCATTTCCTTTCGAAGACTATTTTTTTTTTTTTTTAACCTTTGTTGTTCTTTTTTTGAATGATTGAATGAACTTTGAAGGTGATATTTCTTGAGGGATATTTTGATTTAGGTGTAATTGGATGGGTCCTCTAATATTGGGGATATTTCCTTTTTAAGCTTACTATTTATGTCTTTATGCAATTAATTATGCTGATTTTGAAAATAGTAAAAAACCTACGTTGAAAGGGATTTGAAGATTTTGCTAATATATTGAAAGATATACTACTCATTTACTAGTAGTAATTCACATTTACTCATTTACTAGGATTTTCTTTAATTATTTTATCTTTATTTTCTATGATTTTCTCTGTTTTCCCCATTTTTCCTTATTTTCAATTTTTAATATTTTTTAAATTTATTAGAGCAGTCCAGCCAGTGAACCGGACTTGTTCGGCCGATCCAACCAGCTTGGTGCCCCCACAGGTTCGGTCACCAATTGGGTCCTGAATCCTGACAACTTATAACACTGAAAGGAGATCTCCATAGATCAATCTCTACTGTTTCCTTGATTCTTCTCGAATCCTCCAGGAGACGGTGTATGCCCCTATTGACCCACCTGATCATATTAACCAACCCATGTTTTTCTTTATATTTCATCAGTAGTTGTCTTCTTGATAATTAGTTACAAGTGTTATCTGCATTTTGAATGCTACACTAATGCTTTTGCATATGTTTCCTAACAAAAAAGATGGGTTTGTGATGTTTGGTACTTTGGTTGAATGATCATACTTGAATTGTAATTTTCATGGGATTTGTTTCTTTGATCAATTTGATAGATATATGATTTTCTCATGATTTCATGGTTTCCCTTAATTTGCAAAAATTATAATTCATTATATATGAGTAAGATTAGGTGCTCTATATTTTTTTGAAAATCTAGAAGTAATAACAAATAGGAACTAATTTTGTGGACTAATTTAATTTTGTAAAATATAGATCTTTCTCTTTACTCATTTCAGGCATTAGATCGAGTCACTGCAGAAGCTTGGAGTGAAAGGATAAGATTATCCTCTGCTTTGTCAATAATTTCAATGCTAAGGGTCAGTATGCTCTTCCAGTGATTTTCTTTCTTATCTAATTCCATGGTAAAATATCATGTTTAATGAACCTTTACAATTTGCTATTATAGATAGACCACTATCTAAACTGTAATTAATTAACTGTAAATTAATTAAGACCTAAATTGACTATAGCCTGCAACTGCATATCAGGATCTCTTACATTGATAGAATTTACACAGAAGCATAAAATAGGAAGACCATATGTCCCAAGTAATTTTTTCATACATATAATATGCAATGCGCATTCCACCTGCTAGAAGTGAACAGAAATACAAATACGGCCTCTCCTACTCTCAGTAATCACCATGTCCAGTCAAAACCGTAGATATTTGTGAGCTCTCTCTCTCTCCGATTAAAAGCAGGATGACACTTGTGACTGACATTTTTTTATCTCTTATCTTGATTTGTTTCATCTGTTTTGATTAAATTTCATATGATTTTCTTCTTTGGTAACTTCCCATGTGAAGTGTGAAGCACCCTGGATTATGTGGTTTTGATGCATAATGCCTTTGATTTAGCATGAAAATGGCATTTTATCTTTCTTTCATTTGTTCTACAAATTCAGTGATTTTGAGTTTTTTGATATCAAAATGGTCTAGCAATCAAGACCCAACATTGTTGAGGAAAAGAGTGGAGAATGCATAGGGCACAGAATCCAAAACCAGGAAACCCTAATAGGAAAGGAAAACAGTGTAATTCTTTGGGTATAAGTATAACTAAGTGAAGGGGCATATTTGATCAACGGAAACACTAATTGGAAGACATGGATCATCGATGCACATCAAAAATCAAATGTTTGTCTTTTTTGACAAAAAAATAAAGAATATATTAAGCAAAAAAAAAAAAGGTTAAAAAATGACTAATACTTCTTTAGCTGTATGCATGTATAATTGAATACCTCTTTTAAAACTTGTGCATTTACAAGTTGCAATCTTGCTATGCACAAGCACAAGTACAGCTAGGGTCATGTGATATGAGATTAGACTATTTCTACGATTGTATCTAGTGCAAATTCTTGACCAATATGGTTATAGTTTGGTGGTTTATTTCACGTGAGGCATGCTATCATTTACTTACTAAACTTTATTAGTCCACTCTGACTTGCCTGAGTTACTCGGCTTGGACTGAGCCGAGTTTTTGCACATTCAGTTTAGGTTGTAAGTGAGATCGATTACAGGCAAACATTGGTTTGAGCATAATTTGCCAAATATAATTTCTTTGGGCATAAACTTGACAAGGTTTGGTTTTCCCATAGTCCCTTACCATATGACTTGCTTCCATTGCAGAACTTGTGGAAACATCTTAGGAATGTGCCCACCCAGAAGAGATTTGGAAACGTGTGCAATCAGAAGTTCTCTTCGTTGAGCAGAGATGGTATGGAAAATCTTTCAAATTTGTGAAGTGCTTGAAACTCATATCCATTAACTAATCCCAACAAAGAGAGTAAAGGAAATTCTTATATAAAAACTATAATATTTGTGGATTTGGGATAATTTATCGAAAACAAATAGGCTTATCAATATTACAAATTTTCTTAGCCTTGCACGTTGTTTTTTTAGGGCCCCCCAGGGGTGTGGGGAGTACGATGCTTCGTGAATTGTGCAGTAGAAGATCTTAAATGTTTATTTAATTCATTATGCATTTCCATTTCCAGATAATCTCCCTGAACTTGAAGCGGATGCTGAAAGAAAGATAGGATTGCTATTGAAAATGATCTTTGCAGGAACAGCAACTTATGTTGCTTACAAATTTGTCCCTTACATGGGTATGTAAAGTGTTTGTGTATTTTGAGAGGAAAGTTATGTGTTATCCATTTACTGGCCTTTGAGTACATGAGTGCATTATTATAGCTTTGAGATCATTTTTATTAAGGTCCTGATGCTTTGAAGAGTTTTTCAGGTGATAATTTGGTGGAACAATCAATCTCGCTTTTACATGTGAAGGATCCTTTGTTTAAAAGAATGGGTGCATCCCGGATAGCTCGTTTTGCTACTGACGGTATTGGGAAAAATGTCTCTTTTAGCTCCCTTATGTACATTAAATATCCTTATTTAGCTTTTATTTATTGCATGGCCTTCATTTTTCAGATGATGTGGCTTTGATCATATTCGTCGTATCCTTGTTGAATTCTTTTCTAGGTAGATTAAACTTGTTGAATTCATCAAAACCAACTATATTGATCAATCATCTGTGAGGAACCACGCCAGCTATTTTGTGTAATTTGAGTTTAGTGATAGAAGTGCCTCTAAAAATATATTTCTGAAGAAAGTACTTTTGGGGCTGATATTGAGCATTTGTGGAACTCTCCATATATATCTTCTTTAACTTAAAAAAGTTTTTTCTGGTAAATAGATGAAAGAAGGGTAAAAATTGTAGAGTTGGGAGGAGATCAGGACCTTCTAAACATGTTGGAGTCAGCTAAAGATGACCGTACACGCAAAGAAGCTCTAAAAGCTCTCCAGGCCCTTTCACAATCAGGTATGATCAAGTTCCCATTATCATTGACTAGGGCGATGGATGATCTCCTTGCCTATGGTAAATTTGAGACTGGAGTCTGTCATGCTACTGCTTATCAAAGCATGAGTTTGTCGTTCTATCATGTCTGTTGTGTAACTTTTGGTGGGTTACCATGTCTACAGTGCACATTCAGTTTTGAATATGGTTTCAAAGGTATCTTGTATGACAATAAAAAGAAAAGACGAAACGAAAAGTTAACAATTAACTGATTGAGATGCATGTATTGATAATTATTGTTTTTTGAATGTTATGTTTTGTTATTTTCATATTATTTTACTTTCTTAAAGTAACACCGTCTTTCCTGGCTAAACCAAAGGGTCTTTGAAGTGAATTTGAGAACATTGTTTTTTAATTCTCAATGACTTGTATGTTAGTCCAGCACATGTACCATATCTTACTGATGGCGATGTGCTAAGCTTGTCTTAATTTTTTTTTTTTCAGTTGACATCAAACTTAAGCCTCAAAACCCCTTGTGCCACCCCACCACCCTAACCATCTATGCCTTGGGCCAGCTCCTTGCCCCTTGGCAAACTTGTCAAACTACTATACGACAGATTTTTTTCTTCTCATGAATTTGTTAAGATTACGTAACTGAGTCAATATGATGGAGCCTTTTTTTAATTGTAGATGTTGTGGTCGATGCTTTGCATCATGCGGGTGGCCTCAAAGTCATACACTCTGCGCCAATCTCAACTGACGAACCAGATATTGTGAAATACAGATCTAACATATTGAAGAGGTTTCATGATCTCAAATACGACATGTCAATATTAGAAGATGAGAAAACCCCTTGAGAGAGAGAGAGAGAGAGAGAGAGAGAGAGAGAGAGCTTTATAAATTCAATGCTTAGCTCTGGGCATTGCAATTTAACATTTTGGATCTTTTTAATGCCGTGAACTGTGTTGTTTTGATGAGGGAAATAAGAACAAGTTGTGTCACTGATTAAATAAGAAACCTGTGGATTGGAACATCATTTGTAAAAATGTCCCAAAGATGTTAAGGGAATGACTTGAAAGTGACCACATTACAGGTTTCCCACTGGTAAAGATGGGTAGAGAATTTTCTTTTTTGAGGAATGTTAGCCTTATGTTTTCTGTCACATTCATGACTGTGTAGTCATCTATATACGTGCATGTGACTGCATGAGACAGAGAGACCACAGGGGCGTACAACAAGAGCTTGAGAGAGAGGCCGCAGTAATATACAACAAGAGCTTAGATGAAGGCCGATGAAGTAATAGATAGCTACCACCAACTTATGCTATCATGCTTATGCTACAGTTTGAATGGACCACCTGCCCACTCCCATTTTACGCGTTTTTTTTTCTTCTTATTAATATTATGACTATTATTATTGTTGTTAGCTGTTATACTATTATGTGCCGTGGAAGTAACCGCTTACTTTCAAGTAAATGGGGTAGAATGGGGACCATTTTTACTGTTTGGAGTATAAGTGATACAAATACTGTGGTCCACCACCCAAGCTGGCTTGTACTCCTCTCTTAGACTTGAATTTTGAATAATCTCATCTGTTGTGATGCCAAAACCTTCAACCAATTGAACTCAACCTCCCATGCTGTTTTGAAAATATGCAGTTTGACTCGGAACTGCTCGAGTTGGACCAGAATTGGTGGACAATCCCATTTTAATCCCACCTTGGGAGTTAGTTAAATAGACCTAAAAACTGCACTAAAATATAACGAGTTTCACTATTCTAAGTGCTTATTCTATTTTGGGTAACAAAGAACTTGTCCGTCACTCTTAATTTTTGGGTTCATGAATTCTTCTATAACTTAAGTGACACCATATAACTTAAGTGACACAATTATTCTTGGGTTCATGAATTATTCTGTAACTCAAGTGACACCATATAACTTAAGTGACAATTAAAGATTTTTCTATTCTTTTACTAACCGATTCATGTGTTGGATTTCATTCGCCCCATGGTTGGGAACTAATGATTGGTTCTGTTTATAAAGATTTTGAATTTAGTTTAAAATTCCTGAAGTTGTTTTAGACATTTTCAACTTCAAATATGTTGTTTACAATATGCATATATATTGCTTTTTATAATCTTATTAAGTGGCTAAGTCGGCTGAACTACATGGCCAGCTCTATTGGTGGGAACTGGTGGGTGGCTGATTCAACCCATTGGAGGAATGGAAAAACGTTACTCTAATGTTTAGAGCTCATCTAAATGCCTCGAACAAAACACATTTTGTTCTGTCAGGGCAAAGCATTATATATAGGTTATGTGCTGCTTATGGTGGGCATCATTTAAACCCTCGTTTAGGTGTGAGAATGCTCAAAATACGCTAATGCCGGTTTCCATTCCACTTGCCAAACACTGTTTTTTGTTGGCACTAATCAAGACGCAGCAAAACCAGTTGCAGCTTTTTCTCAAGGAAAAGGTTTTGGTATCCCTGTTAACTACTAATACCAAACTTCACTTTGGTCAAAGCACCATATTTTGGGGATCTGTTGAACTCTTAAACTCAAAACAAGCATTAATCTCTAAAGGTCAAAAATGGGGTTGATCCCTCAACAATCTTGCGTGCCTACTATTTCATCACAAGGCATCTTGAAAGTGAATCGTACTCCACGATCAAGTGTGACATATGGAATATATAATAAAAAATGGAGAACAATATTTCACACTACAGGTATGGCGCTCACCAAGTCCAAGCTCAGGACCCTAGCAAGTCCAAGCCAGAGTCCAAGTTTTCAAACACTGAATAAACGCTTTAGATGGCGATGGCAACTGAAAAACATAATTAATTGTTAGGAATGTAGGTTCCCAATCCCCTAATACTCAAAACCCTTCAGTTGAGCAGCAAATTCTAGTAATGTTTTTAATGTATATTCGACACAATTCAGTACCCATTTTGCACTGCACACATCTCATATTTTAACATGTCTCATATATCTTTGCCAAAAAACTATACAGTAAGACCATTTATCTTTTGTACATAACGATCAAAGTTAATCTGGATCATTAGATATGAAATTAGATGGCTACAATTATTCTATTGAAACATATCAAAGCTGTCAAAGCTCAAAGTTCAAAAGAAATCTTCTCGAATTTTGTAACATATCAAAGCTATCAAACTTCACATCAAATAGTTATCAATAATTAAATCTTGTACAACAGGAAAATCAATTCTTCCAAAGATTTGTAGTACTTGTTATTATATTTGGGGAGCACTCAACTTTTCAGTAATTCTTGCAACCTTGATGCCAAGAATTTTGAGCGTGTCACTCACCTTAGAACCATACGGTAGGAGAAAGGAACCAAGATCTTCAATTCTCCTCCGAAGATGCTTACATGGAGCACTTCCCTCCATGCTTACATGGAACACTCCCATCTTGTACATGCCCCACTTTTGTAACTCAAAACAAAATCACATGTTTGACGGATTCTTTGATGATTTCCGAACTTCAGAGTCTCACCAATGAAACGCTCGTTGCAGAGAAGAAGCCATTGCAAATTCCACTAAGCAAAACTGAAGAAACCCTCAGGCATTATGGGGGTATATGGTATCCAGACTCCAAATTCTCAAGAAGCCAACATGGGATCAATTTGTTAAGCCAACACATTCCTAGAGATCACATTATAAAGTGCATTTTCATGTACACAACTGCTGTTGCCAAATTCCACAAGAATTGAATGAACGCGATGCCATAAGCCTGAGTTCCAATACACACTAAGGTAGAGGTGCCACATGAAGAATGGGGAAGACCCAGTATATTTACCTGGGCCCCAATGTCAACATTTAATTTAACCCGACCCTCACAAAGTGATGGCAATGGAAAAATAGTTGGGAAACCCCAAAAAAAAGGAGGCAGTAAAAAAAAAAGAAGAGGAAATTACATGAAAATAAAGAAGAAAATATTTACATTCTTTGGCCCATATCGCAACCAGCTTAGCAACAGATATTATTCGTAAAAGCCTCTAAGGCCTGCATCAAACCCTAGCAGACTGGACAGAGGCTTAAATGAATACAAAAACATACACATTCACACGTGGGGCCCAGGCCCCCACCCCTTTCCAACGCATGCACACTGTGAGCCCAATGGAGGTAGCCGAGGAGCGGGACCCACATGTGCCACAACAACAATGAACAATAATGCGCACCTGTGTAATAGAGAGGTGGTTGATGGGGCCCGCCATTTCGGAATCAAATATTTCTTCTTTTTCTTTCACCTTGGTTGGAAGGTATCATCTGCATATATAGAAACCAACTGATCTGCTGAAGCCACAGCGAGCAAAACTGAGTAGGGGTGAAAGGCTAAGGACGTGACAGGTCCAATTCTTTGGCCTATGAACGTGGTGTGATAGTATCGAATTGAGCAGAGTTGGTCACCACTGAGGCTGAAGACTTTGATTCTTTGTGTAGCAGAGCCACTTGCTATGACAGGGGCATGGCGGTGTATGGCTAGGGCAGAGAGAGATCCTCTGTGGGCATCAATGGTAAGATAGGGGAGCCTGTTGTTCCTCATGTCGACAAAATTTATGTCACCTGCTTGAGATGCACTCACAATCTGCATTGGATGTGACTTTCTTTAGGTATTTATGTTAGGAAGAAACTAACAGGATCTCAACCCAACAAAGGAAGAAG